AGGGTCGCCATGGGCTCAGAGTCTTCCCCACAACCATCGAATGAGATGCTCTCCTTCAATGCTACGGCCTCCGTCCTGACTCCCCGACTGGGAAGACTGGCCTTTGCCGGCAGAAAACCCATCTCCACCCCACACTACATCCCTCTGGCCTCCCGAGGCGTCGTTCCGCATATTGCCCATGATGTGCTGCGTGATCACACAGACATCGGCAGTCTATATGTCGGTCTCGAAGATTGTATGCCCTTCTCCTCTTGTTCGGAGGTCGAATCCGCGCTGACACGAATGCCCATCGGGGCCCAGATCAGTCGTAGAAAGACAAAGCCAAAAACATCCGCCTCCGGTCTATACCATTCCCACCGCACACGATGAATCGGCCCTGCGCAAATTCGTCGCTCTCCCCGATGATCTCCTCTTGATCATGGGCGCACGTCGGGAGCCCCCGATCAAATGCCCTCCGGCCAATACCCCCAACTCCGTCGCCATCTACACCTCCGTTGGGTTCAGACAGCTCGAAGCTACCCAGTACGTCGACGCCGTGCAGAAGCTCAACCCGGACATCGTCATCGGACTGGCAGATCTCGTGCTGGGACACACCCCTGGCAACAAGAGACGCGGCAAGATGGTTGATCGCACCCACGCCTTCACTACACATGCCACAGGACTACTCTACGGCAGCACAGTGCCGGAGAACACCCGATCCAAGTCAGCCTACTTCGCTCCTGTCCTCCCTCTCGAGAACGCCCAGCAGTCAATCTACATGGACGACCTCGAGACCGAGCTCCGACCCTTCATCTCCGGCCTGGCCCTCTACGAATCGGCATCCCTATCAGCCATCTCCGAACCGCTCGGAGACCTCCCCCGCCTCCTCTACAGCGCACCAGCAACTCCACACGACATCCTCCGCGATGTTTCCCTCGGAGCAGATCTCCTCACCATCCCCTTCATGGGCGTCTGCTCTGACGCCGGCATCGCCCTGGACTTCACCTTCCCATCACCCAACACCCCCACGACCATCACCCAACCCCATGACCTCGCCTTCGACCTCTGGTCCCCATCCCACACAATCGACACCTCCGCACTCTCCAAATCCTGCGAATGCTACACCTGCCGCAACCACCACCGTGCATACATCCACCACCTCCTAACCGCCAAGGAAATGCTCGCCTGGACCCTCCTCCAAATCCACAACCACCACGTAATGGATACCTTCTTCGCCGCCATCCGCGAAAGCATCTCCCGGGGTACCTTCGAAGCCGACATCCAGACCTTCCAACGGACCTACGTCTCCGAATTACCCAAACCTACCGGCCAAGGTCCACGGTATGTTTTACACCACACCCTATCTATCCCTCCAATTCCTCATAACCACATCCGCAATAACTAACAATAGACTGATATCTTATAGTCTCCGCGGCTACCAACTCCCCGCCTCCGGCCCCAATCAACCGCGCCGTAATGCCCGCGCATACGGTAAGCTCGACGACGCAGTGGAAAAGTTCGCCGAGTCGCAGTCTTCTCTCGCGACGCCGGATACAGGCGCCGAGGGACTCGAGGAGCATGGATTCGGGATGAAGGAGGTGTCGTAGTTTGTTTTGATTCATTCATAGATGTCTAAGATGCATGGATGCATTTTACAAATAGATAGTTATGACATAGCATAGCGTGGATTCGTGGATGGATGATTATATATAGTAAACGAAGAATTTATCCTAAAGATTACTGGATTTGTAATATTTGGTTGAAAGGTATGAAATTGCAGATTCTATTTTTCATTTCAACTCATAATGTGATGCAAATACATACATACATACACACGCCCTCTTCCGTCATTCATTCCCTCTTCCATAATCGAATTAGATTTGTTGAAAATAAGACAAGATTCAATTATCAAATGAAACAGACCCCTCACCATTTGTATAGTAGTAGTACTGTACTTTACTTACTGTGGAAATCCAAATGAACCAAAGCCATCATCACCACACACACCACGCACCACCCAGACCAAGCCAGCGGCCAGAAGTAGTCCATAGTTTAGGTTAATACATCCATCATATCAAATAAATCACTGGGAATTTGCCAACTCGCGCCACATCCACTTCTTCTCATCTTCCTCTTCCTCCGAGCCAGCTTCTGTGCCGGCGCCGAACTCTTGTCCCACGACACAGACAAGCCAGACGTCGTTCTTGGTCTCGTCCAGGAAGCGCTCCGTCGCCGAGTTCTTGGGGTAGATGCGACGCCATTCATCCCAGATGCGATAGGCTTCGTCTCCCCAGGCGCGGAAACTGACTTCCTCGATGATGGTGGGGGTGACGATCTCCTTGCCGCGGAAGACACCCCAGGTGACGGCGTTGACGTTGGCTGGGTTGATGTCGATCGGGTCCGGGTCGTCGGGGTTGGGGCCGGGGAGGGAGGATTCGAAGTCACCCTTGACGTTGGTGGCGAACCAGGCGAGCTTCTCGTGGCCGTGTTTCTGGAGGAGGGGCTTGAGGACATTGAGGTAGTCTTTGCTGGGGCAGAAGAATTCCACGAAGGGCTTCTGGAAGACAAATCCCTCTCCCGGTGGACCCCAGCCGAAGACAGGGTCGTCGCTGCGGACGCCGTTAAGGGCGGGTTGCGAGGCCAGAGTCCACCAGCCTTTCTTGTCGATTAGAGTTAGAAGCTCGGGTTGGATCACGGCTGTCTCGGCGTTAAGGCCATTGCTGTCCTCTTCGGCGCCTCCTTCGGACCAGGGGACCATGTGGAGCTCACCGGAGACGTGGCGGCGGAATAGGGTGCTAATGTCTTCGCGGGTGACCGGGTAGCCCCAGATGCGCCGGGCAGTGGCAGCGGAGACGTGCAGCGAGGGACCGTAACCATCGATCTCACCGAAAGCGGGCGAGCGTGCATCACCCCAACGTCCGTTGGGGAAGTCATCCCATGTGGCTTCTCTGCCGAGGGCACCGAGACCTTCGGAGATCTGGAGGGTTGTGCTGCGGTCGGGCGGCATGGCGGGAAGGCCGGCGCTTAAGGCGGAGGCCTCATGTGTTATGGAGTCTTTCGAAGAGGGTTCGGAGATCTGTACCTTGTCGACGATGACACGGTTGTGAGGGATGGAGCTGACGGATGAGCGGCGGCTGGCCAGTGTGCGGATGGGGGCACCGTTCGGGGCGATGTACGACGACGAATCCATAGCAGACAAGTTACCTCCATCGACCAAGGCATCGGAGTCATCGATCTCTGTGTAGGGGGGAATGAGTTCGCAGCGCTCGAGAATGAAAGACACCGTCTTCTCCAGGTTCAAGGTGTAGAAGTGGAATCCGCGGAGACCAGGAGAGACCAGATCGCGGATGCCATACACAAGATCAGTGATGATGTCGACACCAATCCGCTTCACAGCATCGTCATCATGCTTCACCTCCTCCAGCTTGGACAGGACTTGCGGGGGGATCTTGACATGACTGAGCTTCGTGACTCTCGTCAGAATCTTGTAACTGTGGATGGGCATCAGACCAGGGACGATGGGGATGGTCTTGAAGACGCCAGATTCATGGTTCCGTAGCATCGTCTCAAACTTGGTGTATGCCTCCAGATCGTAGGTCAACTGAGTCATGATGAAGTCCGCACCGGCCTGCGTCTTCTCGATCAAGTAGGGCAAGTCCCTGGCCGGATCCTGAACATCCTGGAAGTTATCGGCGGGATGACCCTCGGGGTACGCCGCCACACCAATGCAGAAATAGTCGCCATACTGCTTGCGAATGTAGCGCACCAAGTCGACGGCAAATGTAAAGTCCTTGTTGCTGTCATCCTCGCCGTGCATGTTGTATTCTTCGCTCCGGGGCGGGTCACCACGCAAGGCCAGGATGTTTCTGATTCCAAGCACCTTGGCTTCTTCCAGGGCCTCGTCGACCAAGGCGCGACTCATATTCGTGCAGGTAAGGTGTAGACATGTCGTCAACTGCAGTTGGCGCTGACAGATCTCCGCCAGCTCCAGCGATCTCGCGGCGGTGCTTCCTCCAGCGCCCCAAGTGACCGTCACGAACAACGGGCGCAAAGCCTGGGCCATACGCTCCAACCGGGCTTGTAGATTGGCGAAACCCTAGATAGACGGCAAGCATCTTGTTAGCGACCGATATATAATAATGCTAGATTTGAGTCACTCCAGTGCGGGGAGTTGTAGGAGGGTTGCCCCACCATCTTTGTCTTGGGAGGGAAGAACTCCAAAGAAAAGTAATTGGCGTCTGGCGGCAAAGCCGCAATCTTGTCCGTGATCTTCTCCATGATGAGCGCAGTCTCAGCAGCCGAAACAGCGACACGATGGCGGACGGAGGAGAGGGAGTGGAAGGCGAAGAAAGAAGAAGGCGTGAAGGACGGAGGTGGGGAAGAACAAGACTTCCTCCCTCCGATGGAGCCTCCGGAAAAGGCACCATGACGAACTGCCGACCCCATCGCTGCCAGCATCATTTCTTGTCATGAACTGGGCCCAATTATTATCATCCCGGCCGATCGGTGGAACGTCCTGCTACTAGAGGCCTGGACAATCATGTCGCCGATCGGAGAGTGAATATTTGGTGCTCAGTATGGCCCGGTTCCTCTCTTCATTTGCACTGTATCGTTCACGTCTAAAATGTTCGGGTAGTTCTTGTCCATGACTGACATTATCCCATCGGCCTGCTCGATGACTTCCCAGGCTTGTAAAAAAAAAGAGGACCCCAGGGACTGGGTAATTGCAGGTCCTGGACGAACAATTGCATGTAAACCCTGGTCATAAATTCGGTCAACTGTTCCCCCCTTGTTCTTGCGTATACTTTATCTCTCCTCTTTGCAAACACAGCAAACATCAACTCATCATTATCTCCGATGGCCTCGCGATATCGGCTTCACAACCACCCAGTTGATTGGATTACAATTGCGAAATACAATACCAATATCTCCCTGACTTTCTCGGTGGTACCTGACCGGGAATCGCTTCCACCCCCCTGCATAGGGCCGACAGCTTCACTCCCCAAGTTTATTCAGTCAAAATGCCACCACCGCACTCTATCCTCCAAACCTTTCGTCTCATCTCACAGCGCAAACCCTCCGCCCACCGTCTCTTCTCAACTCCTCCTCCTCCCCCTCCCCCTTCCGCAAAAGATGTCCGGTCGCGTCTACACAGATTAAATGATCGTCTTCCAGCCTCGGTCCGTCCCTACACTACACCTCTTCTTGGAGCTCCCGCAACGCACATCACATCCTTCCTCATCCTGCACGAGATCACCGCCGTGATCAGTCTATTTGGATTGGTGGCTGCCTTTCATTATAACAATGGATTGCTCCCGGATATGTCCTCTAATCAATTGTTCGAGGAGCAGACGCAGAAGTTCGGACGTTGGCTGCGGAAGAAAGGCTGGGTGGAGGAGGTGGATGTGGATACTGTAGCTGAGGAGTATGGAGGGGACGGTGCACACCACCATGGCGAGGCGGAACGGTCAGCGTTGTCAGTCCAAGGGGAACGAGAGGGAGTGAAGTTGATCTTGGAGTTTGCAACGGCTTATCTCATTACGAAGGCTCTAATGCCGGTCCGCATCGTGGTGAGTGTTTGGGCTACCCCGTGGTTTTCTAGAGTTGTGCTTGCGCCATTGGGAAGAGGTGCTAGAGGGCTGTTTGGGAAGAAATGATTATCGGATCAGGCACTGTGTATGTATATATGATAGTGTTTGACGGGTTTAAGCTTTGTACGGAGTACTACTAGCGTGGCATATAGATCATGAATATATTTTATATTTGTATTTCTAGTTCTCATGAGATCTTGGAGTTTTATATCACCCGAGGTACTCTACATCCCAACTCGTAGCGGAATGCAGGCGCTCAGGCGCAGGACTGGCCGGAATAATTTAGGCCTTCTCGTAGATCCAGTCGAACTGGGAGTGCTTCCACTGCTGGAGCTCGCTGGGGGAGAACCAGAGGGAGATCTCCTTCTGGGCGTTCTCGACGGAGTCGGAACCGTGGCAGACGTTGCGGCCGACGTCCTATTCAACTGTCAGTAAGATGTCTCGATCATGACGGGATCAGAGTCCTTACGATGGCGTAGTCACCACGGATGGTGCCGGGGGCGGAGGCAAGGGGGTTGGTGGCACCGAGGATGGTGCGGCCGGTCTTGACGGCGTCACGGCCCTCCCAGACCATGGCGCAGATGGGGCCAGAGAGCATGTCTAAAGGCAGGATTAGTATGCTGGCATGCGTCAATGTTCAACATGTGTGGATTACATACAGGAGACGAGACCGGGGAAGAAGGGCTTCTCCTTGAGGTCAGCGTAGTGCTTCTCGAGGTGCTCACGGCCGGGAGAGCAGAGCTTCAGAGCAACGAGCTTGAAGCTGGAACAATGTTAGCATCTATGCTTTTGCAATGTCATTCATGAGGTAATACGAACCCACGGTTCTCGAAGCGAGAGATGATGGGGCCAACGAGTCCGCGCTGGTAGTAAGGTCAGTACTGGGTTATTCCGGAGATGCCGCAGCTGCATCGAAAAGTGGTGATTCACGGCGTGAATCAGTCATACCTGGACACCGTCGGGCTTGATGGCAATGAAGCTAGTTCAATTGGTTAGTCTCAGGATTGCAATGAGGGGTTGATGAGGATCTAGGAAGCAAGTTCCCTGAGGACCCCCCAGGAGAACGAGAGAGACAGAGAAAAGAGCAATGGAGGGGTAGAGGGGTAAAATGAGTAAAGTAATAGAAAGTGGAATCAACTTACGTCTGCTCGGAAGACATTTTGATGGATGTGAGAGTATAACAATGAAGTCACTGAGATACGATTGAGGGAACAAGAAGAAGAAAGAGAAGAAGCAGAGCCGGTGGTGAGTTGGCGAAAAATATAGGGAGGGACCGCAAAAGCCAGTGTGGGGCAGCCAGAAGGAGGGGCAATAGTACTCACTCACTCTCTGAGACAACTTACGGGCTGGTTGACTGATTTCCCGTCGGTGCCTGCATGCCTGCATGCCTGCATGCCTAACTGCCTGATCCATGACTTGAAAAAGTACTTCCTGCCTGAGGCCAGAACAAGTCTAATCCCCAGCCGCCAAAATCAGACTAGCGCCCACACTAAGCCTAACTGGGAGCTTCCCCCCATCTCAGCTCCATCTGGCCAGCCTGGAACTATCGAGTGCCCTTGTTGTACTACTTGCATTATATCATCGTATCTAGTTGCAATTTTCTTCTTCTATCCCAGCACATAACGGCTTTGTGTGTGGGACCTTCACCTCTGGTAGATGCAGGTCGACACACTAGTGGTTGCTGATAGTTCTTCTTTCAGAGGTTGAGTGTCTCTGATTGACTACTGAGCTCTCCCATCATGGCCGGAACTCGGCCAATGTCCAACCGTTGGACCCTACTGCTGTCCTTGGTGATCCTACTCGGATGCCTTGTCATCCCCGGAGGTAAGCCTATCCAATCATACACCCATCGGTTAGACTCGCCTTGACATCTTACAACGCCGCATAGTCACCGTGAAACACGAGAACTTCAAGACATGTTCTCAATCGGGCTTCTGTAAGCGGAACAGAGCATTCGCCGACGATGCTTCCGCCCAAGGTCCATCCTGGACTTCCCCCTACGAGCTCGACTCATCCTCTATTCAGTTCAAAGATGGCCAATTGCACGGAACCATTCTCAAATCCGTCTCCGCCAACGAAAAAGTCAAGCTGCCTCTTGTTGTCTCCTTCCTCGAGTCCGGCGCCGCCCGAGTTGTTGTCGATGAGGAGAAGCGATTGAACGGCGAAATCCAGCTTCGACACGATAGCAAAGCACGCAAGGAACGCTACAATGAGGCAGAGAAATGGGTGTTGGTGGGTGGCTTGGAGTTGAGCAAAACCGCGACCTTGAAACCTGAAACCGAGACTGGCTTCACCAGAGTCTTGTACGGTCCGGATAACCAGTTCGAGGCTGTCATCCGCCACGCCCCTTTTAGCGCCGACTTCAAGAGGGACGGCCAGACCCACGTTCAATTGAACAACAAGGGCTACCTGAACATGGAGCATTGGCGCCCTAAGGTAGAGGTCGAAGGTGAGGGCGAGCAGCAAACCCAGGAAGATGAAAGCACTTGGTGGGACGAGAGCTTTGGTGGCAACACCGACACCAAGCCCAGAGGCCCCGAGAGTGTGGGATTGGACATCACCTTCCCCGGCTACAAGCATGTTTTTGGTATTCCTGAACATGCTGACTCTCTCTCCTTGAAGGAAACTCGGTAAGCTACTCGCGCAGTGACAATTTCGAGCTCGCAAAACTAACAGCGTCCCAGAGGTGGTGAAGGGAATCACGAAGAGCCCTACCGCATGTACAATGCGGATGTGTTCGAGTACGAGCTGAACAGTCCCATGACCTTGTATGGTGCGATTCCGTTCATGCAGGCGCATCGCAAGGACTCCACCGTCGGTGTCTTCTGGCTGAATGCTGCAGAGACCTGGGTGGATATTGTCAAGTCTACCTCATCTCCTAACCCTCTTGCTCTCGGCGTGGGCGCCACCACTGACACCCAGAGTCATTGGTTTTCGGAGTCCGGTCAGCTCGATGTTTTCGTTTTCCTTGGTCCTACCCCCCAGGAAATTAGCAAGACCTACGGTGAACTCACCGGCTACACTCAGTTGCCTCAACATTTTGCCATTGCCTATCACCAGTGCCGCTGGAACTACATCACTGATGAGGATGTCAAGGAGGTCGACCGCAACTTTGACAAGTACCAGATCCCCTACGATGTCATCTGGCTGGACATCGAGTATACCGATGACAGAAAGTATTTCACCTGGGATCCTCTGACTTTCCCTGATCCGATCAGCATGGAGGAGCAGCTTGACGAGTCGGAGCGCAAACTCGTCGTTATCATTGACCCGCACATCAAGAACCAGGACAAGTACAGCATCTCCCAAGAAATGACGAGCAAGGACTTGGCCACTAAGAACAAGGACGGTGAGATCTACGACGGTTGGTGTTGGCCCGGCTCTTCTCACTGGATCGATACCTTCAACCCCGCCGCGATCAAGTGGTGGATCAGCCTCTTCAAGTTTGACAAGTTCAAGGGAACGCTGTCCAACGTCTTCATCTGGAACGATATGAACGAGCCCTCGGTGTTCAACGGTCCCGAAACCACGATGCCCAAGGATAACCTTCATCATGGCAACTGGGAGCACCGTGACATCCACAACGTTCATGGAATCACCCTTGTCAACGCCACCTACGATGCTCTTCTGGAGCGCAAGAAGGGCGAGGTCCGTCGGCCTTTCATCCTGACGCGGTCGTATTATGCGGGCGCTCAACGGATGTCTGCTATGTGGACGGGTGATAACCAGGCTACTTGGGAACACTTGGCCGCTTCCATCCCTATGGTCCTGAACAACGGTATTGCAGGCTTCCCCTTTGCCGGTGCTGATGTGGGTGGTTTCTTCCACAACCCTAGCAAGGAGCTTTTGACCAGATGGTATCAAGCTGGTATTTGGTACCCCTTCTTCCGTGCCCACGCGCATATCGATACACGCCGGAGGGAGCCGTATCTGATTGCCGAGCCACACCGGTCTATCATCTCCCAGGCCATCCGCCTGAGATATCAGCTTCTCCCCGCCTGGTACACCGCTTTCCACGAAGCTTCCGTGAACGGAATGCCGATCGTGCGGCCGCAGTACTATGCTCATCCCACGGATGAGGCTGGCTTTGCCATCGATGACCAGCTTTATCTCGGCTCCACCGGTCTTCTTGCTAAACCCGTTGTCTCGGAGGAGGCCACCACGGCAGACATCTACCTTGCTGACGACGAAAAGTACTATGACTACTTTGACTACACTGTTTACCAGGGAGCCGGAAAGAGGCATACGGTGCCAGCTCCCATGGAGACTGTGCCGTTGCTGATGCAAGGTGGCCATGTTATCCCCCGCAAGGACCGTCCTCGCCGCAGTAGCGCGTTGATGAGATGGGACCCGTATACTCTTGTTGTGGTCTTGGATAAGAACGGCCAAGCCGATGGCTCTCTTTACGTGGATGACGGAGAGACGTTCGACTACGAGCGTGGAGCCTACATCCATCGTCGGTTCCGCTTCCAGGAGTCTGCTCTGGTCTCGGAGGATGTTGGCACCAAGGGCCCCAAGACGGCCGAGTACCTGAAGACCATGGCCAACGTTCGTGTTGAGCGAGTGGTGGTGGTTGATCCTCCCAAGGAATGGCAGGGTAAGACCAGTGTGACTGTCATTGAGGATGGAGCTTCGGCGGCTTCGACGGCCCCTATGCAGTACCACAGCCAGTCTGATGGCAAGGCTGCATATGCGGTGGTGAAGAACCCCAACGTGGGCATTGGCAAGACATGGCGGATTGAGTTCTAGACTAGACGGGGATGTGGAAAGAGGAGCCATACATATATGCAATAGGTTCGTATATCAGGCATCAATGGTATTTATTTATGACGCTTTCAGATGCCCTTACATCCTAGTTTAGTACTTTTTGTAGTAGTCCATAGACTAGCAGTGTAGTGAAAGGATGGAACCCCAACCCCAAAGAGGAAAAAGGAAAGGCACTTCCCGGAGTGGGGCTGAGTCAGCGCCAGGGACGTGGCCGCCGATCAATAAATTTAATTGATGGAGTCCCAAATCTGGCGGGAAAAAAAAGAGGCCGCATTCGGGTCGCTTTTGGCATTGAACTTTCTTCAGGACTTGTCGGCACGGAGTTCCTGGGCTTTCGGCATCACACATTTTCTACCAATTTACCCTTGTGGAGGTCTCTCGTCCTTGCCAACAGCTTGCGTTCTCATTCCGAACTCAGCATCTCCACAAGCTTTGCCCCTGACGCCGCTGCTGCTCCGTCGCAGTCTCCGGAAACCGCAAGCTCCGCCCGTTCACTGCCCCGTCGTCGACACAAAACCGACCGAGCAATCGCTCCTCAACCATCGTAACATTACCCTATATTCGCTATACTCCTATTACAACGATAGCGACGGGTAATTGAGTTCACGATGTATCTTGTGTCACAAGCCCTGGAATATGGGGCTCCCCTCTTGTACGTCTTTCGCTCTCACGGACGCATCGTAATGGAACGCTAACTGGCCGCTCGAATTCAACAGCCTCATTACCTCCCCAGTGACTTCCTATGCGGACCAGATTCTCAGCATTCACCGGTCTAGGAGCTCGGCTGGATTCTCGCTGGACATTCCTTTGATTATGCTTGTCGCGTCCGTCCTGAAGTAAGGCTCCCACATAGGGATTGATGTCCTTCGAGAGTCTCGGCATTAACAACTTTTGCTAGGATCTTCTACTGGTTCGGCGCTCTCTACTCTTTTTCGCTTCTGATCCAGGCCGTTATCACCGTCGGGGTGCAGGTAGTCTTGTTGAAGGTTGCATTGGACAATCGGCCATCGCCCGGGCTGAAGAACAGCGTTGAACATGTTCCGTTCAGCAGTGTGGACAATGGTGGATTTGCGAGACCCTACGATTTCTGGCAGTGGAAGAGCGCGAAACCGTACGTCTATTCTTTTCTCTCCTTCCATGCGGTGAAAACTAACCAGAGTCGTCGATAGTTACTGGATGTTCTTGGCATATTTCGTCGGCGCGCTCACCTTCATCCAGGTCCTCCTGCCTCCGCTTGCCAACTCGGAATCCTACATCGGTCTTCTCGGATATGTCGGACTCGCCGTGGAAGCCACGCTGCCTCTTCCCCAGATTTTCAAGAACCACAAGTCCCGTTCATGCGCAGGATTCCGGCTCTCGGTGCTCGCAGCTTGGATTATCGGTGATATCATGAAGCTGAGTTACTTCTTCTGCAGCCAGGAAGTGATCCCCTGGGCCTTCCGGATGTGTGGTCTCTTCCAATGTGTTTGCGACCTGTACTTGGGCGTGCAGTTTTGGATGTACAGTGGTGCCTCGTTCCGGACTGCGGGCAGTCCTCGGGGACCTAGTGAGAGCTTTAATGTGGAGGAGAAGGACATCCGAATGACTTGAACGAGATTAGATACGACTGTGGGGTTTTCCGTTGCTTTCCGTTGGCGTTGTACATAAAGCATACCAGCTATTAGACACGTCGGACCGTGAGTTTGGTTCGGCGTCCGAGGTCATCCGACCTGTTATCAACTGAATTAGGCATAATGTGATGTGATTAGACACTCAATGAAGCTTCTGCTACCAATAATTATCAGTAACACGTCTATATAATGCAGTCTTTTGCATGATCATCAATCAATTGGTGGGCAGTAAAATGACGTGAGGAGACTTTCATTGCCGCGGGGTAACTTCAAGGGACCCCGAGGAACCCCACCAGCAACTACTCGTTAGTTCAACTCCATCTCCGCCTGTTCAGGAGAATGATCCTCCCTAGTATCTTCCAACCGACTATCTTGTGTCCGTTGCTCCATCAAGATTCACCATGTCTTCAGATCTAGAGACTATCCGCATTGGCTATGTGCCTGGTACGGTCCAACTTCCTTCCCTCAACAACCTTACACTGTCGTATATAATCAATCAGCTCAGTTGTACAACATGGACAGCTTCCGCTTCTCCGAGCTTCTATCTATGGACGGACAGCTAACAATGACATCCCTGCCTAGAACATTACCTCACGCCTCTCCACCTGGCGCTGCGCTCCCCAGCCCTGGCTGCTCTCCCGTTCAAGCTCTCTCTGATTCCCTTCCCCTCTGGAACGGGACACATGATCACTTCTTTGCGTGAGAAGGAAATCGATGTCGCCATTGGGCTGACCGAGGGATGGGTAGCTGGTCTAGCTGGTAAACAGCAGGCCCAGAAGGACCCCTCGGAGGGTGGCTACAAGGTGATCGGACACTGGGTCGATACGCCTTTGCGCTGGGCCATTGTCACGGGTCGGGAGAGAGAAGATATCCACACGGTGGCTGATCTCAAGGACAAGCGCGTTGGTGTCAGTCGCCTTGGCAGGTAAGGGCAATCTGTGGACGAGATTGGCATGCATCATACTGACGCGAAGCAGTGGCTCCCACATCATGTCTTTCGTCCTCGCTCAGAAGCAAGGCTGGAAGCCTGACTCGCTGTCCACCGTGCCCTTGGGCCCCTTCGCTGCTCTCCGCAATGGAGTGACCGGATACGATTCGGAGCATCCCGAGCAGGAGCCGAAGCCCACGGCCGAGTTCTTCATGTGGGAGCACTTCACCACGAAGCCGTATTTCCATCCCACTGAAGAGAAGCCTCATCCCGCCTTGAAGAAGATCGGTGAGATCTACACTCCCTGGCCATCCTGGATGATCGTGGCGTCTACTTCATCTTTCTCGGATCTGAAAGCGGATGGCAAGCTGCAACAGCTGCTCAAGCTTCTGGATCAGGGCATTAAGGACTTTGAAGCCGACACTGCTCAGGTCGTGAAGCTCTTGGGTACTGGGGAGTTGGGCTGTAACTACGGAGAGGATGATGCTAAGGAATGGCTCAAGGATGTCAAGTTCACGGGCTCGACTCGGGGTGTGCAGAGGGAGCTCGTTGAGTCTGTGGTGGAAGTTCTCAAAGTGGCAGGAGTGATTGACAACAGCATGACCAATGATGAGGCCGTCGCAAGGGTCATTGGCATCCATCAATGAAGCTATGAATTACCCAGGCCCCTAACATCAATGGCGGCAAACCTAAGGCATCTTTGTGCAATGCCACATAGCCGGGCACCTTTGTGTTCGTTATGTTTATTATGATCTCTCAAGTCACTGGCTTCGGCAGAACTTGGATAACTTGGACAAGCAATTGATTTCTGAATGATTAAAGCGAGGGCATTTTCGACCGGCGATCTCAATATGGTCGTCATCCCTCTGATAACCTTGTACCTCGTGCACTGGGCTTCACTCCGCGGCATATAGTCCGATCATTACCAAGGCCGATTGATAGACAACATAGTATGCGGGATTATTTTGCCTTCGGCCAACTTCTGTTGGGCTGATTGACCGAAAACATGTACCGTGAGTAATTGATAAACCGGGCCGATGAGGAGTACATGCCTTCATCACCAGGACGACTCCCACATTCCTGGGGTCATAAGTGGATATCTGGCAGGAGCCAAGAATAGCATCTGAATGACGATTCATTTATAATGCATGATCTGACGGCCATGGTCAACAGATCACCTTTGGGCATGAGAGCACCAAAAGTCAGAGCCACGATGATCAGGAGACAATGGTCATTCAGTTGGTGTATTTGGTTCTAGGAATCATCATCTGCGTCAGATGGATCGTCCCAGATTCCAAGGGGCAGGTGTAGTTGGCTGCCTCTCAACACACGTACAACTGCCGGTTACAGTTGTCGGTCCCGGAGAGATGAAGCCACGGCGATTATGTCTCACTCAATACTTCGATTTTCCACCTACTCCTTGCAGACTCTCATGGCAGCTAAAAACTTTATTATTATATGCCCGCGTCCAAGCTGTCAAATGGGGCTCGCCTGGTATCCTAACGATTATCGATGCGCCGCCGCGCTACAATGAACGGGCTAGCAGACTTCATCCCAACCATGATTGAACCATTAGTGCACCTGACTGGGTACGCAAGCTACGATTTTCATGGCCGCGTAAGTGATCATGGGAAGAGAAGCTTGCCCTGGGTTCGGTTCATCACAAGCTGGGGTCCGTAAAAGGGAATGGCATTCCACGGGCCACCCAAGGCATTGACAACAAACCATCCTGGAATGTATCTCGGTTGGTTCCCTGCCAATCATAGTTTCGACGAACTTGAGAAAAACATGCTCTGTCTTGCAGTCTAGGAGCGCCACTCGAATATGACAATCTGGGGGCCTGAGTTATTGGCCGGCTTCGTGAGAAAAGACTACTATCTGGAATGTTTGACCCCAGACAACGGATGACAAGAACTCGGTCCAAGCTTGTTTTCCAGCACAACACAACAGGCTTACGGTTAGCCTGGAGAAGACATAAAAGCCGCGACATGAACTGCCATAATCTGGCTTCGTGATAGCAGCTCGACTCGAATTCGACAACCGTTCGGCACCGGCAACTTGGGCATCATCGACTGGTCATCCGCCCTCCCCATCGTTGAGGTAGTAGATCGTTCCTTCAGCACACTCCTTTGAAAAGATTTCAGTCATTCCTTGATAAAGAGACCAACTCTTCATTCCTTCCTTACACCATGACGCTCCTTAAAAATATTCTTGCCTTTTCGATGGGGCTGGCTTCTCTGGGAGGAGCATACGCCAAGCTCGACTTGTCTTCTTCTAACAACGTGGTTGTATACTGGGGTGAGTATCGCGACATATGTCAGAATTTGGCAGTAGTTGACATGTCTACGACCAGGCCAAAATTCCTATGCAGGAACTGGGAGCTTGGCCCAGCAAAACCTGGGTTATTACTGCGATGGTAAGTGTTTCGCATTCACGGTGGAAGAAGTTGCGCTAACTCGGACTCTAGACCGCAATATTGATGTAAGATCAAGCTTCGATTAGAAAAGTTCTCTAATGGATGCTAACCATTTTCAAGGTCATTGTCCTTGCGTTTGTGATGAACGTCAACGGACCTGGAGGAGCACCAGCATATGACTTTTCGCTCACCAGCAAGAACTGCACGTTGTTCGAAGGCACCAATTTGCCGAATTGTCCTCAGATTGGGTATGCTCCACATTCTGTGGATTGATGGCAGCGCAGCTAATACAATTATGCAGCGCCGATATCACCACGTGCCAGAAGAAGGGAAAGACCATCATCCTGTCAATTGGCGGTGCGACGTACAGTGAAGGTGGATTCCAGTCGCAATCTGCTGCCCAGTCCGGTGCCGACCTGATCTGGCAGACGTTCGGCCCCCAGCAGTCCAACTCGACGGCTCACCGGCCCTTTGGCAACGCATCGGTGGACGGATTTGATTTCGACTTCGAGGCCACTGTGAATAACATGGCACCGTTCGCGAACCGACTTCGTCAACTTTCCGATGCCGAGCCCTCGAAAAAGTACTTCCTGACGGCAGCGCCGCAGTGCCCTTACCCAGATCTTGCAGACCAGCAGATCCTCAACGGACCAGTGTCAATTGATGCCGTCTGGGTCCAATTCTACAACAACCCCTGCGGCTTGGGCTCTTTTGTTCAGGGCCAAAGCACGCAGTCGACCTTCAACTTTAATCAGTGGGACAACTGGGCCAAGAACGTGTCTCAGAATCCGAATGTGCGAGTGATGCTCGGCGTTCCGGCGAATACCGGGGCAGCCGGCTCGGGCTATGTGCCAGTCTCGCAGCTGCAGTCGATTATTCAGTATACCAAGACCTTCAAGAGCTTTGGCGGCGTGATGATGTGGGATGTCACGCAGGCGTACGCCAACTCGGGCTTTTTGAGTGGCGTCCGCAGTGCTCTGGGGCAAACTGCGTCGCGGGTGTTCGGAACTCCATACCGCTACCCCCTGCACTTGTGGGGTCCTGAGTCCGACTCTAGCTGGAAGAAATGATTGATTTTATGATGATACCCCTTGTAGGAGTGAGTGTGTATGTGAGTGTGTTTGAGAGAATTTAATATGAGGGAGGAGAGAAGTGGCGACAGGAAGCTGGTGGCGTGGATGTTTTGTTCCACAGGATTGCTGGGATATCATCCTAGTGGAGCTGTATATACCCTTTCGGTACATCTATCTTATTCAATCTAATGATTAATATATTCTGCGGAGCTGGTTTGAGGTGGTTATGAGCTGCAGGCCGACTCTTGGCCGCGTGACTCTTGACTGTCTGTCGTGGCATATTTTCTTCCCTCTTCCCTCCCCTTGGCCTCCTGTCCATCCGCTTTCTTCATCTTGTCTGCCACCACTTCTTCGACTTTATTTACCTCGTGCAGGGCTCATCATCATCACCAGCCAGCAAGCAAGCAAGCTTCATTACGCCCCGCCCATCTGGCCCCTCATCACCTTGCATACACTATTAAATCCCAGCCCTGCCGATCGAATTCCGCTGTCTTGGCAGCCTCCATCCGGGATTTGAAGCCACGCAGTCATCGACTCTCATTCGGCAGGTCAATCAGGGTCTTTCCAACCATATTCTCAATAATCTTCTCTTTACTTGGCATGGCGGGTCACGAACTGGCCTGGCACGGAATCGATCGTGTCGATCGTCTTCAGCTGCTCCACCAGCTCGAGTCTTGGCTGCATCCCAGCTGAATCACCATCAATCCTGCTCTTCGGACAACTTGGGACGATGTGCGTGCTGCACTGTCCTTCCTGCGGAATATGCTGTTGTGGAGGTATAAAGAGCAGCTTCATGGCTGCTGCTGCTGCATCTTCTTCCCGGCAGACTGCAGCAGGCCTTCTCTCTTCTCCAGTGCGCGGGGAACGATCCGATCCGTAACCTAGTCTAACACCATGGCTCCCAAATCCCTCTTCTATTCTCTCTTCTCCACCATCAGCGTCGCTTTAGCGTCGTCCATTCCCCAGACAGATTACGATGTCATTGTCGTGGGAGGAGGTCCCGCAGGCCTCAGTGTCCTGAGCAGTCTCGGGCGCATGAGACGGAGGACTCTGATGTTTGACTCGGGCGAATACCGCAATAGTGTTACGCGTGAGATGCACGATGTGCTTGGCTTTGATGGTAAGTTCCCCCTGTTTACATAAACTCTTTCAGTTCATATGAAGCAATACCTAACATCCACAGGCACCCCACCTGCCCAATTCCGTGGCCTCGCCCGCCAACAGATCTCCAAATACAACTCGACCAGCGTCATCGACATCAAGATCGACACCATCACCCCGATCGAGGATGCCGCGGCCAACAGCTCATACTTCCGCGCCGTCGACGCCAACGGCACTGAATACACCTCCCGCAAGGTAGTCCTGGGTACCGGACTGGTCGACGTGATCCCCGATGTGCCCGGTCTCCGCGAAGCCTGGGGCAAGGGCATCTGGTGGTGTCCCTGGTGCGACGGCTACGAGCACCGCGACGAGCCCCTAGGTATCCTAGGCAGTTTGACGGACGTGGTCGGCAGCGTCATGGAAACTCACACCCTGTACTCGGACATCATCGCCTTCACCAACGGCACCTACACGCCCGCCAACGAAGTCGCCCTGGCGGCCAAGTACCCGAACTGGAAGGAGCAGCTCGAAGCCTGGAACATTGGTATTGACAACCGCTCCATTGCATCCATTGAGCGTCTCCAGAACGGCGACGACCACCGCGATGACACAGGCAGACAGTACGACATCTTCCGGGTCCATTTCACCGATGGCTCCAGCGTTATCCGGAACACCTTCATCACGAACTACCCCACTGCTCAGCGCTCCACTCTGCCCGAGGAGCTGAGCCTGGTCATGGTGGATAACAAGATCGACACGACAGACTACACGGGCATGCGCACCAGTCTGTCGGGTGTCTACGCCGTCGGTGACTGCAACAGTGATGGATCTACCAATGTTCCCCATGCTATGTTCAGCGGAAAGAGAGCCGGTGTCTACGTGCATGGTGAGTCTTTTGCCCAACCCTCCCGCTTTCATCACTTTTGCTTTTCTATCCCTACCTAGTATGAATCGTCGAATAGAAGAAACTAACAAGTATATAGTCGAAATGTCCCGCGAAGAGTCCAACGCCGCCATCTCCAAGCGCGACTTCGACAGACGCGCCCTGGAGAAGCAG